ATTTTCCCAGCACCATTTATTGAAGAGACTGTCTTTCTTCTAGTGGATCGTCTTTCCTCCTTTATCGTATATTAGTTGAGCATAAAGTTCAGGGTCCACTTCTGGGTTCTCAATTCTGTTCCATTGATCTATGTGTCTGTTTTTGTGCCAGTACCACACTGTCTTGATGAACACAGCTTTGTAGTACAACCTGAAATCTGGCATTGTGATGCCCCCAGATATGGTTTTCTTTTTTTAAAATTCCCCTGGCTGTTTGGGGTCTTTTCTGATTCCACACAAATCTTAAAATAATTTGTTCTAAGTCTCTGAAGAAAGTCCATGGTATTTTGATAGGGATTGCATTATACGTGTAAATTGCCCTGGGTAACATTGACATTTTCACAATATTAATTCTGCCAATCCATGAGCATGGAATAGTTTTCCATCTCTTTGTGTCTTCCTCAATTTCTTTCAGAAGTGTTCTGTAGTTTTTAGGGTATATTTTGAGAACCATTTGAATGGTAAATGGTTCTCCAACCTTTTATTTTCAGGTTGTAGGTGTCCTTCTGTCTCAAATGAGTCTCTTGCAGACAGCAAATAGATGGGTCCTGTTTTTTTATCCAGTCTGAAACTCTGCGCCTTTTGATGGGGTCATTAAGCCCATTCACGTTCAGAGTTACTTGAACTTCTTCTTAAAGGGGAGTTTTAAGAGTCCCCCTTAAAATTTCTTGCAGAGCTGGTTTGGAGGTCACATATTCTTTCAGTTCCTGCCTGTCTTGGAAGCTCTTTATCTCTCCTTCCATTTTGAATGAGAGCCTTGCTGGATAAAGTATTCTTGGTTGCATGTTCTTCTCATTTAGGACCCTGAATATATCCTGCCAGCCCTTTCTGGCCTGCCAGGTCTCTGTGGAGAGGTCTGCTGTTACCCTAATATTCCTCCCCATGAAAGTCAGGGACTTCTTGTCTCTTGCTGCTTTAAGGATCTTCTCTTTATCTTTGGAATTTGCAAGCTTCACTATTAGATGTCGAGGTGTTGAACGGTTTTTATTGATTTTAGGGGGGGATCTCTCTATTTCCTGGATCTGAATGCCTGTTTCCCTTCCCAGATTGGGAAAGTTTTCAGCTAGGATTTGTTCAAATACATATTCTGGCCCTCTGTCCCTTTCGGCGCCCTCGGGAACCCCAATTAAACGTAGGTTTTTCTTCCTCAGAGTGTCATTTATTTGCCTTAATCTGTCTTCATGGTCCCTTAATTGATTGTCTCTTTTTTCCTCAGTTTCCCTCTTTGCCATTAACTTGTCTTCTATGTCACTCACTCGTTCTTCCACCTCGTTAACCCTCGTCGTTAGGACTTCTAGTTTGGATTGCATCTCATTCAATTGATTTTTAATTTCTGCCTGATTGGATCTAAATTCTGCAGTCATGAAGTCTCGTGAGGCCTTAATGCTTTTTTCTAGAGCCACCAGTAGCTGTAGAATGGTGCTTCTGAATTGGCTTTCTGACATTGAAGTGTAATCCAGATTTTGTAACTCTGTGGGAAAGAGGGCTGTTTCTGATTCTTTCTTTTGAAGTGAGGTTTTCCTTCTAGTCATTTTGCTCAGTGCAGAGTGGCCAAAAACAAGTTGTATTGGAACACGGGGGAGTATCACTGGTCCGTCCAGCTGGTCTTCTGGGGGAGGGGTCTGCTGTGCTGATTTTCAGGTGTTAGCACTTGGGGGAGCTGCTCTGCCCCTGCCTGCTGCAGGGCTCAGCGGGGGTTGTTTACCCCGCCAGGCCCCTGGAGGAACAGTCGCAGTTGCTATGGCAACTCTGGAAGCCTGGATTCAGCCTCCGCAGGAACTACGGGCTCAGGGCTCTCGGCTCTCCGTCTGCAGGGCCTGGAGGCTCCGGGGCGGGGCCGCTGATCTGCTCAGCTCGGGGCAGGAGCGTCCTCGCTGTCTCGGGCCCTCCCGGCCTCTGCCTGTCCCGGGGGAGGCCGGATCCTGGGCTGTGTCCCGGCGCCCTGTGCTCCGAGGCCTGCGCTGGTGGATTCACGCTCCCGCCCTGCAGCTCCCTCCCTGGAGCCGCTCCCGAGCCCCTCCGAGCTGCTCCGGTCTGCTGTGCGGGCGCTGCAGCCCTTAGGGAGCTCGGAGCACTCTCCTGCGCTCGCAGGTGTCTGTTAGTGTCCCCGGGAGCCCGAGGGCATCCCCGCTCTCCTGGGTCCTGCTCCAACTCCCTGCGAGCCCCTTTCCGCCCGCCCGGGAAGGTTGGTGCAGCTCCTGCTCCTCCGGGACGGGGCTCTCCTGTCCTGGGGACACTCGCCCCGGCCCTAGCCCAGCTCCTCGCGGGGCCCCTCCCCCTCGGAGGCCTTTTGTGTCTTTATTTCTTTTTCCCCGTCTTCCTACCTTGATAGAAGCGCGGACTCTTCTCACTGTAGCATTCCAGCTGGTCTCTCTTTACATCTCAGGCCGAATTCGTAAATTTTCAGGATGGTTTGAAGGTTATCTAGGTAATTTGGTGGGGACAGGTGATTTGGGGACCCTGCTCTTCCGCCATCTTGCCCCTCCCCCCCTTCAGCTGGGTTTTGAAGGTCATGTAGGAGTTAGCCAGGGAGCTGAGGCCAGGGTGCGGGAACATAGGCATAGGGAACAGAGGGCAGCCCTGAGTGTGTGCAAAATGCTACTGTAGCAAGAGGCTGACGCAAGCCTTAAAAGTTCCTGAATCTTGGGAGGTTGTGCTCCTTCCTGACGGTGACAGGGAGCCCCCGAAGGGTTCTCAGCAGAAGGATGGGGAGCATAATCAGATGTGCATTGACACGGATCACCTCGGGATCGGAGAAAGATTTTACGCTCAGAGGCAGGACATCCAAAGTAGAGGTTACAGTGGGATCCAGGGCATTTGAAGGCCCCTAAACCAAGGCAATGGCCATGGAGAGGAGAGGACACCATCTGGTCCCATTTAGAAGATAGAACGACTGGGACACCGTGACTCGAGTGTGTGCAGTAAATGGGAGGGAGGAGTGGAGACAGACAACCAGGTTCCTGGGTGAATGACGGTGCCGCGTGGACGTTGGCAGGAAGGAGGCACGGCCTGTGCAGGCGGAGGTCAGGCCCTCGCACTGGAGACTCCTTTGTGCAGAGGACAGACGGTCTGGGGAGGAGAGACATAGGGATGTGGAGTCAGCAGCAGGCATCTGACCGTGTGGAAGCCCGGGAGGGTGGAGCAGAAGGGGTGTCCCGGGCAGAGTGAGGTGAGCAGGGGCTCACAGGCAGGTGGACACCAGCTACGGGGGGGGTGAGAGGGGCCTGGCTATTTTCATGACTTTGGATTCTGCTGAATCCCGAACTGGTTACTTTTTGCCTTCAATCACTAAGTTAGGAACTAGGAACGATGCCTGGGATCAAAAGCAGTTCTCCACTAGATGATTTGTCTTCCGGAATCATTGGTGGCTGCGTTCCTTAGGAGCTGTTGGTAAAAGCGTTAAAAAGGCATTCACTAAAAAAAAAAAAAAAAAAAAAAAAAAAAGGCATTCACTGAGCCTGCTTGAACAAAAAAGGAAATTACAACACAGAAGCAAGTGAGAGGTGTCCCCTGTTCCCTGCGCCCTGTGCCATGATGGGTCTTTGCAGGAAGCAAAGGGTCTGGAATGAGGGCATGAGGAAAGGCCCAGAAGGGGTGGCACCGCAGGTGCTCAGCTGGCCCCCCTGGGTCCTTTCTTCCTGGGCCACACGAGGAAGGGGGGCAGGGAGGGGGGCAGTGTTGTAATTTGCACCCAGGACAGGAAGCGCCAGAGGGGAAGTCTGCAAGACCGGCAAGAGCTATTTGTTTCTGTGGCCACTTTGGCTCTGGCCAGGGGTGCGGGGGGTGGGGGGGGCGGGCTCGTGAGGAGCCTGCGGGAGGAGAGTGTGTCAGCACGCAGCACCTGCAGGCTGGGACCGGTGCCCGGGGCCCCCTGGGGCCCCCAGCCCTCAGCCCTTATCTATCCACTCCAGGGAGCAGGTGCAGCTACAAAAGACTTCACGCCCACTGCTGGGGGCCAAGCCCTGTGGGTCTTCCCACGGTCTCACTTTCACTTTTAATCTATTTTCCGCAGAGACTTAAAGGAGACACCAACTCTGCTGACACCCAGATCTTGGACCTCTGGCCTCCAGCACTGTTGGGACGGTTTCTTGATTCAGCCACCCAGTTTGTGCTATTTGTTTTTTTCTTTTTCCTTTTTCTTTCTCTTTCTTTCTTTCTTTCTTTCTTTCTTTCTTTCTTTCTTTCTTCTTTTCTTTCTTTCTTCTTTCTTTCTCTTTCTTTCTTTCTTTCTCTCTCTCTCTCTCTCTCTTTTTTTTTTAAGATTTCATTTATTTGTTCATGAGACACACAGAGAGATGCAAAGACACAGGCAGAGGGAGAAGCAGGCTCCACGCAGGGAGCCCGATGTGGGACTCGAACCCAGGACCCCAGGATCATGGGCCCGGCAGATGCTCAATGGCTGAGCCACCCAGGCCCCCAGTTTGTGCTGTCTGTACCGGCAGCCCCAGCGGACTACTACACCTCTGTCTGGATTCCTGGCCGGGCAGGCCGCGCCAGGCTACGCCTTTCAGCCCTGTGCAAAGGTGACCTCTTTCGAGAAGGCAGAAGGGGAGCCCAAGGGTCCCAGAACAGCTTTTCTTCTGCTTTATCTGTTTGGCCAAGTGGACATTCCAGCTTCTCAGCAAGTCGCAGGCATTCCTACTCCCCAGCCTGTCCACGATCTCTCAGTTTGTCTGGTCACTTATTCATGGGCTTGTCCACTGTCCATCTGTTTACTTGGACATTTGGTTCATTTTTCTTGTCCACGTTCTGTGAGCCAGTCACTGGGCACGCAGCGGGGAACGAGGCCAACAAAAGGCCTGTCTTCAGGGCATTTTACTGCAGTGGGAGGCCAGGACACTCGTCACACACAGCACTGAGGTCAGCATCAGTGATGTGCCAGATGCTGCAATGACGGCAACGAGGTGTCCGTCCATCGCAGCACTGGGGACAGGCGCCCCAAGCAGTTCAGAAAAGCCAAGGGAGACGTGCACACGCACAGAGCTCATGCCCAGTATGTGCATTGCCTGCCCTGTCCCACTCCTCCTGGTGTCCCAGCGAGCCCTGACCCTGACCCCAACTCCATCTGCTTCCATGTGAGCACGAAGACAGCTCAGGTATGTATAAACAGCCTTGTCAGCTGTCAAGTGTTTTGCTAGTCATGAAAAGTAGTGCATCTTGGGTATAGATGGGGACCTCGGTTTGTGCCTGGTCCCTCTGCAAGCCCTGTTTTTGGGAGAGGACGGAGGGACTCTCTGGCCCAGGCGTCATGGGTGTGTGATACCCGCAGGGACTGCATTTTCTAGATAAAGACCACAAGGTGACAACACCAGAGGGTTTTGAGAGCCTCAGGGGGTCTCTGCAGGAGGTTGGGTGTCCCAAGTGGAGTGCAGGGTAGTGCAGGTCAAAGCGTGCCTCCTGGGATCACCAGTGCCACCTGCCACCTTCTGAGAGATGCAAATTCAGGCCCCACCCCAGACCTACTGAATCAGGAACTCTGGGGTGGGGCTTCCTGGGAACTGAGAAACACTCATCCTGGGGACAAGCATCACTCTGGGGACGAGCGGGGTGCAGTTTGAGAACTGGCCTTCTGCTTACTGAGGTGTTGTCCTTTTATATATATATATTTTGTCCTTTTATATTTAATAAGGGTATCTTTAAAAAGCACCTGGGGCACCTGGATGGCTCAGTGTTGAGTCATGATCCGGGGTCCTGGGATCGAGTTCCACATCAGGTTCCCAGCAGGGAGCCTGCTTCTCCCTCTGCCTGTGTCTCTGCCTCTCTCTCTGTGTCTCTCATGAATAAATAAATAAAAGGTTTTTTTTTTTTTAAAGCACCTAACCTCTACCACTGACATCTAAAGTTGTGATTAGGATATTAGATCGTGTGTGTGAGTGTGGGATCCGGTACAAAGACCGTAAACACTAGCTAGTTATTCTTTATTATAATTATTATTCTCCTACCTGGTTATGGAGAGCAGGCCTTCCTACCCGAAGCTTTGGAGCATCAGTAGCTTGTTAGAAACCCTCAGTGTGACCCATGCCTTCTCTCGAACTGGCTGCCTGGCTGGCTCGGTTTCTCTGCCACCCAGCAGAACTGGTGAGGCTGCCTTGCTCAGGGCTCTGTAGGCCCGAGGGTTTATAAGCCAAGAGTTGTCAGGAATCTGGGCCCCGACTTGCTCCAGGAAGTGTGGCCTAAGATAAGGTTACACACACACACCGTCATTACCCCATCAGACAGTGCAAACCCAGGGCCTCGGCAGGATCCAAACAAGGAAGCCTGGTGGCATTTTGGGGAGGAGAGGCTTTGGAGGGCAAGAGCAAGGTGACAAGTAGGTATGTGTATGAAGTCGGAGGAGCCATAAGGATTTCCTAGGCTGCCAGGCACTCCAGGGCTCCAGAGACCAGGGAGGGCCGGAGAACGATCCTCGGTGCTCCTGCTGCCGCACTGACTTCTTGATTATGTCCCTCCTTGAGCACCTCGACTTGTGACCCAGAGAGTAGGAGGTTGTCTATAGCTCGGTGCTTGAACCAGCTTTACCACTGCTGGGGACAGGCGCCCCAAGCAGTTCAGAAAAGCCAAGGGAGACATGCAAAAGCACAGAGCTCATGCCCAGTACGTGCCTTTCCTGCCCTGTCCCCCTCCTCCAACAGGAAGTTTTAGCTGGGTGATGCTGGACGTGGGGGTGGGGGTGGGGGCATGACATTAAGACTCCCAGGCCGGCTTACATGGTACAGCTGGGCCAGGGACAGCTCAGCCTCCTCTTGCACAGGGGCCGAGGTGGGGCCCACATGTCTCATCGGAGGACTGAGGCTTTTCCCTAGTTCCTTCCCAACATTCCCTGGGAGGTAATCCAATTGTTGGGCCAATATGCCAGGGTCATGAGGAGGCTGGGATAGAGTGGCCTCCCTGGGGGCCAAGGGTTTTGACCCGGTCTGCACCAGTGACACCTCCCTGGTCTGCTTTCAACAGGTTTCCCGTCTGTGGTGGGCTCTGATCCCCTTCCCAGCTGTGATCCACCCCAAGCCCTATACAGAGATAACCAGCAAGATTCCCCTCCAAGGTTCACAAAATGGGGTGGGAGCACTCACACCCCAGACAAAAGCTATGCCCAGCCATGGACAAATCAGAGAGAGAAAATAAAAGGTTATATATGTTGCTGTCAACCTTACATTCAGATATATATTTTCCTCTGATCGTCCGTCCATGTTTTTATTTTATTATTTCTATGTCTCTTTTATTATCTGGATTCTTAAAAACTGATCAAAAATTGTTTATGAAAAAAGCACTTTGAGGGATGCCTGGGTGGCTCAGTGGTTGAGCATCTGCCTTTGGCTCCGGTTGTCATCCCAGGGTCCTGGGATCGAGTTCCACTTCGGGTTCCCCAAAGGGAGCTGGCTTCTCCCTCTGCCTATGTCTCTGCCTCTCTCTGTGTTTCTCTTAAATAAATAAATAAGATCTAAACCCCCCCACCCCCCAAGTCAGGGCACAGTCATGGCTAAGACACCTGGAGAGGGATGGAGGGGTCTGTGCTGAGTGGACCATTGTGTGCACCCAGGTCCTTGACCCTCTCCCTCCCCGTGCCTGTCCCCTCTTCTCCTGTTTCCTCCCGAGAAAGAGGGTCAGATGCCACTTGGGGAGACATGTCTCTCTGCTCCTCTGCTCCTCTGCTCCTCAGAGGTAAGGGCAGCAGGTGGCCGTCCTCCCCTAAGCCTCACCCAGGCCCCTCATTCAGTGTGGCTTCTTGGCACCCCCACCTTCACACAACCTCTCTCCCCAGCCTGTCCCCCTGGTGGGTCACTCGGGGGGGCCCCCAGGCCTTCAGTTGTGAGCCCGCTAACCCTCCCCACACACTGTCTTCTGTCTTTTGTCTTCTGACTCCATTGCCCCCCAGCCTCTAATGCTGTCTCCCCCTGAAAGCCCAGGATGACTGCCCATTGCTGCTCCAGCCACCCTCACATCTGGTTGTCCTGGGAGGACTCGGGGCCTCAGGCTTGGTCTGGGTGATGTCTCTTCCGAGAGAGAGCGCATGTAGAGCATGGTGCAAGGGACTGCCATCTACTCATACCCTTGGGCACCTCTCACCTGTCACCGTTGCTATTGTGTTCTTTGTGGTAAAATACACACTTGCCATTTTAACTATTTCAGGGTATGTGGGTCAGTGGCGTGCAATACATTCATATTGCGGGGCAAGCCACCACCTCCCAGCTCCCGAACTAAGCTTGCAAAACGGAAACTCTGGAAAATTCTGACACCGTAGAACATGGATGAATCTTGAAGACTGGAAGTCTTCCACAGGACAAATACCGGATGACTCCACTTACATGAGGTACCTAGAGTTGTCCAGTTCGGAGACACAGAGAGTGGAATGCTGGTGGCCAGGGACTGGGCAGGGGGGGAAGTGAAGCGGAGGTGTTTAAGGGGGACAGAGTTTCAGCTTTGCAAGATGAAAGGAGTTTTGGAGGTTGGTGCCGAACAATGTGAACAGCTAATGAACCGCACACTTAAAAACAGCTAAGGAGGTAAATTTCATGTTATATGTGATTTACCAAAATTTTAAATGTAAAAAACTAACTAAATACATAAACTGGGAACTCTGTACCCTCACCCCAGCTCTATTTGCCTCAGTTTACTCTTTCATAATTCAGGGGTAACCATACTACCCATCCCAGGGGGACGTTGTAAGGATCTGCTGGGGGATGTACACAAAGGGTTCCCATGGGTGCCTGGCCACCCCAGTGCCCTGCATCAGCTCCTATTCTCATTAATGTTTCATGCTGAGCAGGGAGGGAGGGGCTGGGTTAGCAGATCTACTTTTCAGAGAAAGGGGACAGGGACGATGAGATGAGGGTGGGGAAGTGTAAGGCAGGGGAGTCTATTCCAGGACCTTGGGAATCTACCCCCCAAGACGGAGGAATTCCTTAAGTCTTGTTGACCTGAACACCCGGGTCCCAGCAGAACTGCTGAAGTTTGCCAACCATGTGGACTCTGATCATTTTGAATTTGGAATCATTTGTCCACAGCAGGCTGGACTTTCTGAGTCTTTTACGTAGCAGAAGGCTGAGCTGAACTCCGTTTTGATATAAACCAGATTGGTCTAGTGCAGGGGAATTTCTAAATTTCTTAACAGAAGAAACTACCTCCAAGCCCTGCAGTGAGGTTTCTGGGAATGTGATTGCAAAAGGTCTTATCTTCTAGTTAGGTAGCAATTTTCTTTAAAAAAAAAAAAAAAGCCTTTGAAACTATAAATGTAATTACATGTAATAAGCAACCTAACAGAAAAATCACATCCCCCCTCCTTTTTTTTAGGTTTTTTTTATTTACTTATTCACGAGAGACACACAGGGAGAGGCAGAGACACAGGCAGAGGGAGAAGCAGGCTCCTGCAAGGAGCCCGATGTGAGACTCGATCCGGGGAATCCGGGATCAGGCCCTGATCCAAAGGCAGACGCTCAACCGCTGGGCCCCCTAGGCGTCCCGAAAAATCGCATCCTTGAAAATCTGAGTATGTTGGGGTGTCATCAGAGAAGCCCGGGTCCCTGGACGCTCTCCTCCTCATAGCACCCCCTCTGGGACTGCAGGACATCAACTGAGCAGAGCCCTCTCCCCGCATCCTGTGGAAAGATCCAGCTGCAGGTGGGCAGCAAACACTAATAAAACAACAAAAAAAGATTACTCCAAGGGGTTTTTACAGCATCTGTTGTGCCAAATGTTTTCTGACGTTTGTACTAATTCTCTCAGGATCTTGCTCCAAGGACTCTAATGACCTCATTCCCGGCTAACTTGGCCTTCCGGCCAGATTGCAAGCAAGTGCAGTCAGTCTCCCGATGCAGGGGCTGAGGGGTGGGGACAGGGCGGCCTCCTGTCCCCAGGGTGTGTGTATGGGTGGGGGTGGGCTCGCTGGGACCCCTGTCCTGGGAGTGGGGCCTGTGGGACCCCTCAGCCTCTCGCCCCTTCTTCCCTCCATCCTCCATGGGGAGGCAGTGGCTGCAAGCACTAATGCTGGGAATGCAGGAGATAACAGTTTTTCTTTTCTGCTCCACAGCTTCATCGAGGTTTAGTTGACATACAATACACTGCGCTTTGACGTGTGCACTTTGAGAACTTCTGACATGTGTACACACCCATGACACCATTACCAGGAGATACATGTCCAGCCCCCTCCCCTCTGCACCCCTGTGCCCCTCCCAGGCAACCACTGATCTGCTTTTTGCTGCTATACATTCATTCATTTACTAGAATTTTATGTAAATGGAAGGGAACATTATGCCCTCTTTTGGTCCAGATTCATTCGCTCTCCATAATTATTTTGAGATTCATCCATTGTCACGTGTATCACCTGTTCCTTTCCTTTTAATTCTGTAATTTGTGTATCCACTCAAGTGTGGATGGGCATTTGTGTGCAAGCCTTTGCGTGGACAGATGCTTTCCTTTCTTCTGGGGAAGCACCTAGGCATGGAATAGCAGGCTCACATGATACGTGCGTGTTTATTTAAGAAATTACCTCACCATTTTCCAAAGTGGTTGAGCCATTTTACATTCCCACCAGCAGCACGTGAGAATTCCAGTTGCTCCGCATTCCTGCCAGCATTTGCTACTGAAGCCCTTTAATTTTGTATATTCTAATAGGGTGTCTTTACCCTACTACCCAACCACAGTAGTAGCTTGTGGTTTTGATTTGCATTTCCCCGACTAATGATTTTGAGCATCTTTTCATGTGCCTATTTGCCATCTGTATACCTTCTTTGGCGGCTTGTCGATTTGCATCTTTGTCTATTTTTAAGATTGAGTTGTTTTTTTTTTCAATTATTGAGTTTTGAGAGTTTTAAAACATATAACTAAATCCTTTATCAGATATATACACCACAGTCCGTGACTTGCCTTTCCATTCTCTTAACAGGGTCTTAGGAAGAGCACAGGATTTCTTTCTAAGAAGTTTAATTTATCAATATTTAATTTTATAGAGCGTGCTAAGAAATCTTTGCTTGCAAGAAGGTCACAAAGGTTTTCTCTTATGAATTCTTCCAGATATTTTACAGATTTGGTTTTACATTTAGGTTGATGATCCATTTTGAGTTAATTTTTATATATGCCAAAGGCATGAATCCAAGTTTATTTATCTGCATATTTATATCCAACTGTTGCAGCACCATTTGTTGAAAAGACTGTTTTTTTCTTCACTGAATTACCTTTGCACCTTTGTAGAAAATCAGTTATATATTTATGTCCTAGGATTGCCTAATAAAATACCACAATCTGGGGTGCTTAAAAACAATAGAAATGAATTCTCTTACAGTTCTGGAGGTCCAGAGTCTGAAATCAAGGTGTTGGCAGGGAGCCCTCTCACCCACAACCCCAAGACCATAGAGTGGAGGACTCTCTCTTATCTCTTCCAGCTTCTAGTGGCACCAGACATTCCTTGGTTGGTGGAAGCATAACCCCAATCTCTGCCCGTCTTTACTGGCCTCCTCCTCAGTATCTCTCAGGGTTTTCCCTTCTATCTATCTATCTATCTATCTATCTATCTATCTATCTATTTATTTATTTATTTAGGGTTTTCCCTTCTTATAAGCATTGGATTTAGGGCCTATCCTAAACCCAGAACATTCTCATCTTAAGATCTTTAACTTAATTACATCTGCACAGACCCTTTTTCCAAATAAGATCACATTCATAGGTTCTGGGTGGACATATGCTCTAGGCAGAGGGGGGAACAGAAGTCAGCCCACTACATGCACCTATGTGTGGGTCTATTTGGCTCCTACAGCTTTATAATAAGTTATGAAATCAAATAGCGTTAGTCTTCCAACTTTGTTCTTTTCCAAAGTTGTTTTGGCTATTCGAGTTCCTTTGTAATTCCACATGAATTTATTTATTTATTTATTTATTTATTTATTTATTTATTTATAAAATCTTTTTGAGAGAGAAAGAAAGAGGGAAGGGAGTGGGGCAGAAGGAGAAAGAGGATCTTTAAGCAGGCTCCACGTCCAGCATGGAGCCTGATGTGGGGCTCGATCCCAGGACCCTGAGACCATGACCTGAGCGGAAATCAAGAATTAGACACTTTACCAACTGAGCCACTCAGGCACTCCTCCATATGAATTTTAGAATTAGCATGTCAATTTCTACCAAAATGACTATTGGGATTTTTTTTTTAAGATTGTGTTGTATCTATTTGGGGAGTATTAACATCTTAATAATATTGTGTCTTCCAAACTATAAATGAGGTATGTTTCTCCATTTACCTAGATCTTTAATTTCTTTCATCGGTGTTTTGTAGTTTTCAACATACATGTCTTCATATCTATTGTCATGTTTATACCTTTTTGAGATATTTTGATACTATTGAAAAGGGTATTGCCATTTTAATATCAATTCTGATTGTTCATTGCTAGCATATAGAAGTGCAATTGCCTTGCAGATACTTACCTGTATCTTGCAATCTCATTAAACTCACTTATTAGTTTAATGCTTTTTTGTCGAGTCAACAACCTGATTTTCTTCATGTCATCTGAGAATAAAAGACAGTTTTATTTTTTTCTTTCCAATAGGGATTTCCTTTCCTTGCCTTATGCATCTGCTGGAATCTCCAACACAATGAAAATGTTGAGAGTGGATGTTCTGGTATGCACCCAGCCTCAGGGAAAAGACATTCAGTCTTTCACCATGAAGTACGATTATGCTGTTAGTTGTAGGTGGAGTGACCAATCGTCCTAGTTTTCCTGGGACCTAGGGGGTTTCCTGGGCTGCACCACTCTCACTGCTAAAACCAGGATATTCCCCAGCAAACTAGGACAGTTGTCACCTGAATTGGGGGTTCTGGGCCAGTTTCAATGACTATTTTTCTTCTCATTTTCTTATAGATTATATTTTCCTGCTTCTTTGCATGCCTGGTAATTTTTTATTGGATGCCAGGCATTGTGAGTTTTACTTTGTTGGGTGCTAGACAGTTTTTGTATTGTGATAAATATTCTTTTTTTAATCCTATTTTTTAAGATTTTATTTATATATTCATGAAAAAACACAGAGAGAGGCAGAGACATAGGCAGAGGGAGAAGCAGGCTCCATGCAGGAAGCCTGATGTGGGACTCGATCCTGGGACTCCAGGATCATGCCCTGAGCCAAAGGCAAAGGCTCAACCATTGAGCCACCCAGGCATCCCTGTGATAAATATTCTTGAATTTGTTCTGGGATGCAGTAATTTTATCCCTTCACACCTTTAAGACTTGTTAGGTGAGATGAAAGCAGTATTTAGTCTAAGGCTAATTACGTTCCACTACTGAAGTAAGATCCTTCTGAGTACTCTACCCACAAATTATGAACGTTTCCAGTCTGACTGGTGGGAATAGGGAGTATTCCTGGCCGTGGGTGAGCTCTGGGCATTCTTTCCTTCATCTGCTTGGATGGTTCTTTCCCCATCTGTGAGTAGATTCCTTATCCACCTATGCAGGTCAGCGCTCTGCTGAAAACTTGGAGATTTCCAGAGTTCTCTCTCCATGCAACTCTCTCCTCCTGGTGCTCTCTTGCGTACTGTAGCTGCCTGGGTCTCCCCAGACTTGCAGCTCCTTCTCACTCACAAAATCTTCTGGTCTCATTCTCTGTTTCCCTTTTCCCTTTCCATGGCTTAGAAATTCTCTCTAGGCAGTAAACTGAGGCAAGTATAGGGCTTGCTTTGTTTGCTTCCTGCCTCTCGGGTGTCTGCGACCTTTGTTGCCCGATGTCCAGTATCTTGGAAGCCATTATTTCCTCATGCCACCATGGGGCTAGGAGCTCCCAGAAGGAAGAGGCTATGCTTGCTCCATCAGGCTGGGTGCTCCTCGAGAGCGAGCAAGACCTGGGCTTCCACCTTCCTCTTGATCCCTCCCTCAAGGCATGTTCTAACAGATACTTAAGTCCATGGCATTTTGCTGCATGATTATTCCCTCAAATACCTGTTTGCTTTCATGTGACACAGATTAAGCTGCAGCCCCTTGAGATTGTCCTTTCTTCTCTCAACGGTTCCCAAGACCACACCTCTTCTAGGAAGTCTTCCTGGGTGGAGTGAGATAGATGAGGCGTCTCCTCACCACACCATCTACCCATAAGTTTATGAATCCTTTCCCCCAGTTTGCCGCTCTCCTGGTGACTCCTAGAACTTCTGTCCCTGATCCTGGGTTTCTCCAGGAAGGTTTTAACCAACCTTACCAGTCCTGTGGGAATATACGGGGGTGGGGGGGAGCAATCGTTTAAATAAATCTTGCTAGCCATATCCCACTCATGGAGATTCACAGAGCATATTAAGACTTTCAAGACGCTGATAACTATTGTAGTACAGGAAACTGCTTTGTTTACACATATTTTCTAGATGTATTTGATTCCAGGAACTTTTCTTTGATCTCAGAATGCCTGGATTATTTATTGTTTTAGGAACATACATAAAGAAACACAAACCCAAATCATCATGAACAAATGAGAGATTCTCCTCTTCGGTGCCTGTCTCTTCCTAGAGAACAGATGAATGTTTGCCAAGCAAGTGATTCAAAGAAAGGATCCGAACTCACTCTCAACAACCCATTCTGACTTTATCCTCACAGACCAGGTTGGTTTTCCAGAGGACTCTCCCAAGCCTCCCTCACAGCA